AATGCAAGGAGCAAAGGACACCTCCTCCACTGGTCCTTTCTGCTGCTGCCACAACAAAAGTCTTAGTGATTTCTGTCTCCTAAGAGAATGTGTAGCCCCAACCAGAGTACAGGTCCTGCCATATTCCTTCAGGGTTCCTCACTGTGTATAAGAGGTCCCCTAGTGTCCATGGTAAAAACCTGGGCATGCATCCTGTCTCTACCACTTCCCAGGGAGTTTGGCCTCAGGAGAGGGTTCTCTACCTTATGAGCTTGAAGAAGGGGTTGTGAGTGTGTCCAGCAGTCATTCGTGAAAGACTGCTTTGCAGGAAATGGTGATGAGAGAGACAGGGCTCCTGAAACACGCAGCTCGACACTCCACTCCCAAACACAGCTGCAGTAGCAGGAGGCACTGGCCAGGCTCAGCAAGGGTGGTCTTACTGCTCTCACACGCCTGTCGGCACCTGCCTGTCTCCACTGAACTTTCATAGTCCCCCGCAATCCTCCAAAGTCAGCACAGACCAGTCAGGACTTTCCTCTTCTCTCCAGTTGAGCTGTGCTTCTGAGCGGCCAACCCCGAGGCCTTTCCCACCTCTTAACCAGGACTCCCTTCCTCAGCAGGTAAAGGTAAATGTGGGCTGTCTCCAGCTCTCAGGAAAGCACATCACCTATGTATGATCTCCTCTTTGTAGGCTCACTTCCCAGCACCTAAGGACAGCAATTCTCTGATTCCAGTCCAGGGTTCCAGAACCTACTGCAAAGCAGGGTTAGACCTCTCCAGCTCCCCGCTACCCACCAGCATGCCCACAGCTTCACTTCCAGGGGCAGGAATCAATATAGACGTGGGAGCTCCAAGCCCTAAGACCATCCAGATAGCTTCATCCAGTCTTCAGCTCTCACCACCAGCACCTGGGACACCTTCCCTGATCCTGACTCTCTTCACTGTAAGACTCAGATGTCACCTGTCACTAAGGCCACCCCTGAAAAAGCACACACACACCCCCCATCATCCCCTGTTTCCTGTTGAACGCCAAGCCTAATTTTCCATGTGGAGAAGTTTTAGAAAAGCACTTCTCCTCCCAAATTCTCTCGAGATGTGACTCAGACAGCGTCTCCCTGCCAACTTCTCAGAGTCCTTCCTAACTCTCAGGAAGCCAGACTTCCGGCCCCTCCCCCAGCGCTGGGAGCAGCCGGAGCCCTGTGGGTGCAGTCAGATCGCGATGGGAGCCAGCCATCACATCTCTGGTGGGTTCACATCTTTGGGGCCAGCACAGCAGTTACGGCAAAGCACTCTCCAAACATTCTGATCCGACAAACGGAGAGCCCCGTGGGCCCGTGGAACGGTCACTGGGGTTAAGTCCTTGCTGGTTTCCCCACCCTGAACAGTCTCTCTGCCCCGATACAGACAGCACCGCAGGCCTGCTAATGGGAAAGCTGCAGAACCAAGGGAAGCAGCTTCTGACGGGAAGAGTGAAAGGAATCAAAAGCCAAAAGGCTCAGATTACTTGTAGGGGCTGGTCTGGGAGGCCCTTGTCCAAGCTCTCAGCTCAGAGGAGATGACGAAGAGACTGGGGACAAGGAAGGTGAAATCGAACCTGTCCTGGCAGTTGCTCATCCAGTCGCCACCCCAAGAAGGAAGTCACTGCTGCACGTGCTTCCAAAACTTCCAGCCGAGACCCAGAATCACAGAGAGGGGCCACAGCTTCTGTCGGGCCGGCCAACAGGCAGCTGGGAGCCATGGGCGTCGGCAGGCTGCCCTGGAGCGGGAGGCAGGGCCCCTGCACCTCAGGGCTGCCGGCAGCACCTGGAGGACTAAAGACTTTGGTAAGAAGGACCAGGGGCCCATCCTCTGCTGGGTTTGCCTGGACAGCTGAGCTGAGTTGAGGGCTTCCATTCACATGGGCTGGTGGGTTTAAGGGAGAGGAAGGAGAAGGGAGTTTAACCTGGAGATGGACAGAGAGAGGGAAGGGAAGTGGGGGACGGATGGGGAAGGGATGGAGGAGAGAAGGGAAGAGATGGGAGGGGACCCGGAAGGCAATGCTTAGTTTTAGTGGAGTGGAGTATTTTCCCAGTGTAAGCCACCACACAACTGCCCATCATGTTCACACAGTTATCCTTAAAAGCTGTACAGGAGAAAGTCATTTTTTTCACATGGCCTGGTAGGTAAAAGTAGGGGATCTGGAGTTAGTCATATAGATTCAAATCCACGCTCTGCTCCTTCTCCCAGGGGTTGACTTGGATAAACGCCTTAACTTCTCTAAGCCTCCATTTCCTCATCTATAAAATGATGACAGTAGTCCCTACCTTTAGGGTTGTTGTAAGAAATAAGTCAGGTAATGTTTATAAAACACTTAGCACAGTGCCTGGTACATAAAAAACTCTCCCTTTCTACTATCGTCACAAGTGGTAGACAAGCATCTGGATGAACAAGGTTTCCCGAAGCAAAACCTTATGGAAGATGCATGTCTAGCCCCAGGACCACAAAGATCCAAAAAAACAAATTTCACAATAGCCAGTGGTAGGGTGCTAATGGTTCCATCTGTGGTGTTCAGTGGCTATGGCTTGATCTATGAAGTGTGTAGCCAGATTCATTGTAGACATGCTCCATTGTGACAATAGCAGACAATTTGATTTCCCTATTTCTTGTTTCTTTTTCTTATACTAACTTTTCTCTGCCTCCCTCCAAGATGGGATCTGCAAGGCCTGGGGACCTTATTAATTCACAGAAAGGGCCAACAGAAGCAGGGCCCAGTACCCCCCGACCTGTTCATGACTATAACTTGGGCCATAAGCCTTCCTGCTCCTCCACAGAGTGTGCATGGAAGGTGTGGAGATGCCACGACACAGTCCACATCTCAGGACATAACCAGTGGTGTCAGGAAACAGACTCAGTGTAGCCAGCTTGAGGCTACAACATTTTAGCTCAGTTTTCACAAGGTCACCTAATCTTTAAATTGGAGAGGATGGCAGGTGCTTGAGCCACCCAGGTGTTATCCTGGCTCCATGGCATGAGTTCAGAAGTGCTGCAAACCATGGCTCTCAAATCTCCCTTCTACACCCCTGTCCCAACACCTGACATCCTAGACCAAGAAGGTCATTCCTTGAGTCACAGGGTTGGCAAACAAGTATTATTGCAAGTGCCAACTCCAAGTTATTGACATTAGATTTTGTTTCAGAAAGATCCTCAGGCCTTTTCTGGTCTCAGCAGGATGTTTCCAATCAATTAGCAGTGTCTGCAATGGACACTGGAAAAGAAGTGCCAATGGTTTTATACAGAATTACTGTCCTTAAAAAACATTTTCTTTTTATATTTATAGTGCAACTATATGGCCAGTAGAGAACACAAGAACTTGTAATGACTCACAACCATATCAGGGCCTTGCGGGCATGGGAGGCAGAACAGGGACTTTCCTTATTACTGTTATTATCATTCAAACTTTTATTTTACATTGGAATATAGTTGATTAACAATGTTGTAAGTTTCAGGTGGACAGCAAAGGGACTCCGTCATACATATACATGTATCCATTCTTCCCCAAACTCCCTTCCTATCCAGGCTGCCACATGACATTAAGCAGAATTTCCTGTGCTATATAGTAGGTCCTTGTTGGCTATCCATTTTAAATGTAGCAATATGTACATGTCCATCCCAAACTCCCTAACTATCCCTTCCCTCCAACCCCCTGGTACCATAAATTTGTTCTCTAAGTCTGTGAGTATATTTCTGTTGTATAAATAAGTTCATTTGTATCATTTATTTTTAGATTCTGCATATAAGGGACATCATACGTATTTCTCTTTCTCTGACTTACTTCACTGTGACAGTCTCTAGGTTCATCATTACTGCAAATGGCATTATTTCATTCTTTTTAATGACTGAGTAATATTCCATTATATATATGTACAGCATTTTCCCTATCCGTTCTTCTGTTGATGGACATTTAGGTTGCTTCCATGTCTTGGCTATTGTAAATAGTGCTACAATGAACACTGGAGTGCATGTATCCTTTCAGATCATGTTTTTCTCCAGATATGTGCCCAGGAGTGGGATTGTAGGGTCATATGATGGCTGTATTTTTAGTTTTTTAAGGAATCTCCATACTTTTCTCCATAGTGGCTATACCAATTTACATTCCTACCAACAGTGTAGGAGGGTTCTCTTCTCTCCATCTCTCTCCAGCATTTATTGTGTGTGGATTTCTTGATGATAGCCAATTTGACTGCTATGAGGTGGTATTTTATTGCAGTTTTTTAAAATGTTTTATTTAGACATGATTTTCTTGTTTTGGGGTAGTGGTGCTACACTGAGTCTTCATTTCTCTGTGTGTGCTTTCTCTAGTTGTAGGCAGTTGGGACTATTGTTCCTTTGTGGTCCATGGGCTTCTCATTACGGTGGCTTCTCCTGTTGTGGAGCATAGGCTCTAGGTACAAAAGCTTCAGGAGCTGCAACATATGGGTTCAGTAGTTTTGGTTCCTGGGCTCTAGAGGATGGGCTCAGTGGTTGTAGCACATAGACTTATTTGCTCCATGGCATGTAGAATCTTCCAAGGCCAGGGGTTGAACTGGTGTCCCTGCATTGACAGGCAGATTCTTATCCACTGAGCCACCAGAGAAGTCCCCTCATTGTAGTTTTGATTGGCATTTCTCAATTGGTGATGTTGAATATCTTTTCATGTGCCTCTTGGCCATCTGTTTGTCTTGTTTGGAGAAATGTCTAAGAATACAGAGTTTCTTAGAGGGGATTTAAGAATGGTATGCTGCCTGAGACCGGGTATTCATGGTTGAAGAGGACAAGCCCAGATGGGGGAGCAGAAGGAAAGCTGGGGTGACTATAGAGCAGTAACAGACCTTGGGTTTCTTGGGAAGGGACCAAAACATAGGTAAGCACCTCCAAATGGGTCACCAAAGCAAATTCTAGAACAGTCCTTTGAGTTCCACCCTCCTGCCAGTCTAGGGCACCCCATACCCTCTGCCCAGAGGGAAGCATCCAATTCTAACGCCAATGTTTAAGTAACAGCTACCATGTGCCTACCTCTGTGTTCCAGAGGCAAGCTTGGTGCCTTCACACACACTGTATACATTGAACCCACTCCCAAGTGGGGGTAGGATTTTCCAAATTCCACAATATTACATGTTATTCATCTATTTATTATAAATATATCATGTTCTCATAGTTTTTTTTTTAAATCAAATAGTACAGAAGGGTCTGAAATGAAAAGTAAGCCCAAGCCCTACTGTTCAGAGATAACCACTCTTCAAAGTGTCTTATTGGACACCCATGATTGTAACAGCATTATTCTCAATGTCCAAAAGGTGGAAGCAACCCAAGTGCCCATCAACAAACGTGTGGATAAACAAAATGTGGCATGTATGTACGGTGGAATATTATTAGATGATAAAAAGGAATGAAATGCTGACAAATGCCACAGCATGAATCAACCTTGAAGACATTAAGCTAAGTGAAATAAAACAGACACAAAAGAATTTGTCCTTGTATGAGCCCACTTATATAAGCTTACCTAGAATAGGCAAATCCATAGAGACAGAAAGAAAGGTGGTTACCAGAGGCAGGGGGAGGGACAGAACGGGGCATTACTGGTTAATGGGTGCAGAGCTTCAGTCTGTGATGATGGAAGTATTCTGGAGATAATGGCTGTTCAACATTGTGAAAGTACTTCATGTAACTAAACTGAGTACTTAAAAACATTAAAATGGTTAATCTTATGTGTATTTTACCACAATTTAAAACAACAACCAAGAGAAAAAAGAAAAGAAAAAAAATAAATAAAAATAAAACAACAACCAAAAAATGCTATTCTGTACTTTTCCATGAGGAAGTAAAGGTAATCTTGCTTTGCACAACAGCACAGGACCATAAACATAACCATGCAAGCTGACACCATTCAAACTGACCTAAATAGTCAAAGGGAAAAATGAGGATTGTTCCATGACCTTTAAATTTGTTGTCAAAATTAAAACCTTCTTACTGTCAGTTATAAAGGTAGAGGGAAAAAATAGTAACTATTATTTATATAATACATTGTTATTTAAAACATTAGGAATTTTGAGAGTGTGTTCTATTTCTTGGTTTAAAAAAAAAACTTATCAAGAGTAGTTTGAACAGTGCTTGCCTTCTTTTTCTCTTCACATAATTCACAATACAGGGCAAGCATCATTTACATGCCTTAGTGAATTTTCATGCTCCTTTGGACCTTTTCAATATTTATCCACTGAACTTTCAATGCTGTAAAATAGCTCTAAGGTTTTCTCTAATGTCAAATGTTTTTCGATGTCACTTTTTCTGGGACATCTTCCTCCTTTTTGTCACGACCACTTTCCTCATTTATACCAACAAATCCACCTTCACCAAATTCCTCTGTCCATACATCTAGAGTCTCAGTAATGGCAGCAGTGTCAACATTCCTGTGGCCACCTATTTTTTTTTCCTACCTTCATTTACATTAGATTCAAATCCTGCAAGGTTATTTGCACAGTGGAGTAAAAGTTACTGCCATACTGCACAGAATCCAAAGCAGAAGTAAATGCTCCATTTCAACTATGACCAGCTTTCTGTTCCTAGTGCAATTAAATTGCAAGATGTTGAAGGGACTTGCACCTGTATTTATAATCACTGGACTTTTTCAATACAACTTGCACCATGGCTATACATTTAGATCTCATATCTTTGCTCTGATGTTGCCATTTTTCAGATCTTTTGGTTACATACAGTTCTACTTCCAGTCTTATCACTTTTCATTTATCTGATGCACTTATGTCTTTGTTGGACAATCCTCTTTTTTGATTAACCATCTCTATAAAATGGCATGTGGGTTTATCACTGGAAGACAAGGAAGCAAATTAACCAAGTGCTTTGCTGTCTGTGCATGAACCCAATACAGGTGTGTAGTTACCAATACCTACTAGGCTTTAAAATAAGTGGCATGACTAGTTACTCACTGATCATGGTGTGTATCTGTTGTTTACGTGGTGATTTGTGGACTGAAGAGCTAGAGCAAGTTTGTACTTTATGCAGTTATATTTAACATACAATGGTAACTGAAATATAATCTGTGTTACTAGGGGACTAGTGTTTCTTAAAATGTTATAACAAGTTTGTACATATTGGGGCTATGCAAAGCAAGGACTGCCTGTAGTAACAATGGGTGTTTGACAATTTGTTACATAACAGGTCTTATTCAGGGCTTCCCTGATGGCTCAGGTAGTAAAGAATCTGCCTGCAATGTGGGAGAGCTGGGTTCGATCCCTGGGTTGGGAAAATCCCCTGGAGGAGGGCATGGCAACCCACTCTAGTATTCTTGCCTGGAGAATCCTCAAGGACAGAGGAGCCTGGCAGGCTAATCTCCTAACTCCCACTATTAATGAGGAAACTGAGTCACAAAGAGATTAAAAGGCCCAAGGTCACACAGCTGGCAGTGGTGGAGATGAGCCTGTGTTTTAAATTTATATGCTGTACTTCCTTTGGTAGAGATAAGGAAGAGTGATTTGGGGTAGGGGTGTCATGTGGCTCATAAAAGAGGCTGTGTGTAAGCCAGTCCATCACAGCTGCCCCTCCCTCCCAACCTACTTGGGAAGATTATCACTCCAACATGAGTGCCTTTCACCACTTGCCCTGCTCACCAAGGAAGAGAGGTGCAGCCTCAAATACCACCTTTGTTTCTTCATTTTTCTCCATTTCTTTTGGAATAGGTAATACACTCATGTAAGCACAAATTCAAAAGATACAAAAGATCATCCTCTCGCATCCTCTCCTCCAGCCATGATTTTCCTCCCAGAGACAACCAAGGACACCAGTTTCTTCTCCCTCCACTCCAAAACTATCCCAGAATGTCTCACACCATCTGCCCCTCATTTCCTGTATCAACTAAGACTAAAGTTTGGACAGGACCAGAATCCTGGGTTATAGAAAATCTTGGAATACAAAAAATAATAAAAGCACTCAAATTCTTTAAAAATTATTTTGGATTTGTTTGTTTCCATGGAGTTGAGAACCATTTGGATACCATGAAGAAAAAGAAAGAGTCTGTCTGCTTTGGAATTTGAGAAGGGAGGAGCAGTGAAGGACCAAGAACACCTGGTCGGATGAATGGGCCCACAGGAGTGCTCAAAGAGGGCCCTGACTCCCGAGGGGAGGCAGGAGGAGGGGAGGCAGGTGAGGCCCTACCCCACCTTGAAGTCTGCCAATCACTCATGTTCAGAGAGGGCTCCACATGCAGGCTGTGAATCTCACACATTCTATTTTTAAAAGGATTTAAAGGGCAAAGAAAAGAATATCTTCATCTACTATGCTGGCTTTTTCAGGATAATATTGATTTCAATGGGCTTCCCTGGTGGCTCAGTGGTAAAGAATCCGCCTGTCAATGCAGGAGAGGTGGATTTGATCCCTGGGTCTGGAAGATCCCTTGGAGAAGGAAATGGCAACCCACTCCAGTATTCTTGCCTGGAGAAGTCCATGGACAGAGGAGTCTGGCAGGCTATAGTCCATGGCACTGCAAGTCATTCTCGACTTAGGGACTAAACAACAATAAAATTTATTGCAAATATTCTATCCTGCTGTCCCCTTGAGGTACCACAGATGTTTTAGAAATTCCAGCTTTGCAGTCTCTAAAGCATACCTTCAAAACTGCCTCTCCCCTCTAAACTTGTTATCTTCTGCAGCACAGAAGCCTTTCTTTGAACATATATTTCAAATTTTCAGCTCAGATAATAAGGTAATCATAGAATATTTGAACAGAAGGAATTGACAATTTAAAGGAAAAAGGAGGAGTGGTCAATGTAAAAACACACCCTAACCCATCTTTATTGACAGGCTGTTTACTGTAGCACTGATGAGCATGGCTGCTGGAGCAAGTCTATCTGGGTTCAAATCCCAGCTTTGATGCTTACTGACTGTGTGTCCTGGACACAGTGATCAGCTTCTCTGTGCTTCAGTTTCCTCATCTAGTAAAATGAGGGGATTGGCTTGGTTCTGAGGGGCTTTGTAAGGATTAAGTATGTTAATACAGAACAGTGCCCAGGGCAGAGTATCACACTCTATGGATCTGGTCTTGCCACTGGGCCTTCATCCAGGGTTGGACGCTAATCTCTTTACATGCTTGAAGTCATTTAACCCTCACACCAGCCCTCAGTATTTCTAATCAGCATTTGAGGAAACAGACCTACAGAAGCTGAGTTGCCCACGTCACCCCCCTCAAAATAGAGAAGCCAGAATTCAATCCCAGCCCCCAGATGCAAGCTTTTGCCCCCACGCTGTACACTATTATGAACACAGTGGGTGTACTGCAAGAGAGATGTTTTTAAGTAGACCAAGGTCCTACATCTCTGCATCCTTGCATTTCACTGTCTGCTCACCTGGTGTTGCTCAAAACCACTTTGGTTGCCTCAATCTAGTCGCATCTCAGTATCAGCTGCTGATCAGTCCATGTCCACCTGACCCCAGTGAAACTGTCATCACATGGGAGAGTCAGAGGAAGGCCTTCTGATAGGAACAGCATCTTCCAGCCACTTGAGGTCTGGGGGAATGAGCTTCTGGGGCCATCCTATTCTCTCTCCAGCACTATCTCCAGAAAGTACTACGACAGAATATACCCACATCAGCTTCCAGGAGGGCTATGGCAATGTGGGAAGAAGAAAAGGCTGTAGGAATGTAGGATAGCTTGGTAAATGTTTTGAAGTCTTTGGAAATTATAATTGCCCCTGTTTGGGGCCACCTTTCACTAATTAATCAATATTCCTGATTAACTGGGATCAAATTCAGGTGAGTTATTAAAACACACATATAAAGTTCTCACACAGGCACTTGATGACTGTTGGTAAGAATACTCATTGGACAATAAGGTAAACAGGATAACATAAAGACCACCAGACTTGGAGTTGCCCAAATAAATGTAACGAATGGGCTGCATATGGCTATATTGATGGTTAGGGGCTATGTGACTTTGGGAAAGCCATGTAATATCTCTGTGCCTGGGATTCTTATTTGAAAGGAAAGGGTTTGACCAGCCTGTCTCTTTTAGTTCATCTTTTTCTACTCAGCCCAATCCAGCCAACTGTTTGAATGTCTCTTACATGCCTGCCA